AACAATCACTTCTATTGTTTTCACTGCTGACGGCATCCAGATGAGCTAAAATATCCAGATGACGGCAGCTAAATATATTGTCTGTATATAAAATATATATTTTTTATGCTTCCTGGAAATTTTATATAATTTTTCGTCTAATTTGGCATTTGCAATTTTACAGAAATTAATATTTTGTCTATTTTTTTTCAAAATCTAACACGTTTTATTTATTTTTTGAATAAATGAAAGATAAAAATAAAACATAAAAAGACTATGAAGTACTTTGTATTACATTTGGTTTGATTTTACCATATGAACAATTTGGTGATAACTTTCGTAAGAGCTGATTTTGAATGTTTATATTTGCTTTTGTTGAACATCTCTTTTTCTCTCTTTCAGTTGCTTGTGCAATATACCCTTTTACATTATAAAACTCATTAATATTATTATTGGGTTGCGACTTGTTTACAATCTAGCAAATTCCATTTCAATAATACGTTTGTCACAGCAGAAAAATACTATGATAACAAAATGTTTTTCTTTGATCGAAAATCCACGAAATATAAAAGTTACATGTTAACAGAATATGGGATAGTCTTTTGTTATCGTTATTACAGTGAAAGAGAAATAATGAAGCTCGGAGTAAAATTGTTTATTGTAATACTTTGTATTATGAACAGTGAGTTTCAAATTTTGAACAAAATCTCTTAAAACTTCACGATCTGCTAAATAAGGGTGTTCCGTATTTGGGCTGCTTATGAAAATCATTTTTTGGGGCATAGTTCTTAAGGAAAAAAAGGCGTTATGCCAACAAAATTGTCTTTTGGCCGTTGAAAGTTTTGTCTTATCGGCTAAAAGAACGCAAACCCAATACGGAAAGCCAGATAATATATTTTTTAATTTCTTATTTTTAGCATGCAATGCTCAACACACTTTTCCAAGCGTTCAAAAGTGTAGTAAATTACCAAACACAATTGTGCGTGAAACAGATTTATGCGAATTGAGAAAATGTTACAGAGATGCAATGGCATTGTGCAATGTTTTCAGCGGAATTAAATTGTGCGATTGTAAAATTGGATATTTTTTCAATGACTGCAATGGACAATGTGTAAAACGGAAGGATTGCCCAAAAATAATTGGCGGAAAACCACTGTGCAAATAAACAATCGATAATCAACGAAAAAGAACCCATTAATACATCAAACTTTTAAAAGTTCATGTTTTCAATGGAAAAAAATCACGAAGAATTAAATAAATGCAGAGAATTATCTTTAAATAACATTTCTGAATGTCATAATATCAACTATCAGCTCATCATAATAGTTTTTTTAAGCTTTTTTTTGTTCACTGTTTTTGCGAACATACATTGTGTCACAAAGTGATATATAAATAAATACAAACTGTGAGCGAGAGCGAATAATAAATCATTTCAATGCCGTTATCAATTAAACAACACTCGACCCCTAGTAAAGCTGCTGAGCAGTGAATAGATTGTGGCCATAGCTATAGCTATAGCCGTGCTATTTTCACAGCTCCTGTTCATAGGTGCTATTTGTGAACAACACATACGGACAGCGACTTTATGATACAATTCCGAACGAAATGTTCAAAATTTAAATAGAACAATTGATTTTAGTATTTTGCATAAACATATCAATAGGTCTATTGTCCGGAACTGTATGATAAAGTCGCTGTCCGTATGCGTTGTTTACAAATAGCACCTATGAATAGGGGCTGTAAAAATAGCACTGCTATAGCTGTTGCCCATTCTATTCACTGCTGCTGAGATAGCAGAGAAAACCGAGCCTTAAAGAAAGTCTATAAATAGCGCAATCAGGCGAAAGTTTTTCATTACATCGAAATAATACACAATGTAATTGATTTGCTTTAATCCAAATTATGATTTACATTTATTTGAGTTTCAATGACTTCTTTTATACATATTTTCAATTCTATTTAAAATAATCTTACTTAAAGTTTTATTTCACAAATAAATGGGAATAAAATCTCAGAGAAACCTTACTGACACAATGTTCGGAATACTTCAAAAATATTTCAAATTTTTTTTTTCTCAAAGAAATCCATATATTTTCATCAAGTGGCATTTTTGTTCCAATATGCAAATATTTTTAACGGATGATGGATAGATCAGAATAAAATCCCAAATTAGAATTGTTCAAAATACCACTTTTGAAAAATAAAATGTTTGATAGTTCCGAATAATTTGTCAATAAGGTAAATTGTAAATAGGTTACACAATGAAAAAAATACAATCAAATTATGTGTTATCTATACTGAATTTTTAAACGAAAATATTTCTTTTTGATTTGCCATTAATCAAAATAAAAAAAGATCTTTTGTTTGCTCGTAGTTTTGTTGATTATGAATAGCAGTAATAAAATGATGATTTTAATGCATAAAATGTAAATGTAATTGGTTAAATGGCGATCCAATGATCCAATAAGTGGCGAATGGTATTTTGTAAACGTCTTATTTATTCGTGTGTTGCTTACTTTTTGCGTCAATTTTGACTGTTCTTCTCATTGTGGATACAACTTATTTTATGTTCAAAATCTTATTGTTCAAAGTGATGGTGGTATGTGTGTGTGTGTTTGAATGATTGACGAAAAATGAACGAAAGTATGACTCTACATACTATCCGTCTGATTACTACGTGTTGATTGTTTTCGATTTCGTTTAACTTGTTAGCAATGCAATATTTATTTCTTTAACCATTTTCACGCGATGTAACATTTTGGCAAGAGCATCTTTGCCCAAAGCTTGTGTTGAATACCAAACGGGTGAGTCTGGTACGCATGATCTCTCCGGCAACAAATAAAATACATCGTTACGCGTTTTTACACTTTCCGGACTGTAAATAAATGACATTTTGATGAGAATAAAAAAACAATAAACGATCGAAAAATGCTTTGAAAAAATGTCTCACCATTTGGACAAGTAGAATTCGTATAATTTAACAGGACATCTTAAAGGATTCTCTTCATTTTCTTGCTGTTCATAGACTTTCTTCTTTCGTGAATTGTCTAAAAATATAAATGGCAAATTAAACAGTTTTATATGGACAAATGGCAACAGAATTTGAATTTCTTTTTAATTTGTAAACGAATTATTATATATAACATACCTATTAGTGAAGATTGTGGTGGATAGAATCGAAGTAAAACATTCCTTGAGCCGGCCATTTTGGCTGAACCTTGATTTGGATTACGTTTCCAATGCTTCATGATGTGCGAAAATGATAATTGCATGTGTTCTTCGACGGTCTAAAAACAAAGAGCAAACATATTACGTTTTAGTTTTTTCATTTGTGTTCAATGAAATGTTCAACTTTACCGTTAGATTAAAATGTTTTGTATTGAAAAACATCAGTGTGCTTAATAGGACGTGCGGTGAATGTGCACCCAATTGCTTGCACTCCCATAGATGCTCTTCTTCAACCCGTGTAACAATATATTCTGCAAATGAAACCACATCACATTAGCACACATACATACGATTTTAGATGTGCAGAATTACTTACGTGAATCATTATAGAGTACCGAAAACTTTTTGGCTACTTCATCCAAACAATCGGTGAATCGTTCATAATATGGATCTGTGAAAATGTTATCAATGCGACCATTCTCATAGAGATACTCTTGTATGCCTAACACCAAATAGTATATTGTATCTGGTGCATATTCACTGCCATTTGGTTTTCGCACTTCCTTAACAAATAAGCACAATGAATAGTTCAATTCGTCGGCGGTCAATTGAAGTAGTTCAGTTTTAAAAAGTTTCCTTCGCATTGAACTCTTTTCCAATTCAGAATTTTTCGTAATCACCCATTGCTTCCACGCATTTACACCGAATGTGAATTTTAAGCACATATTTGCGTCGGCTTTTTCAATTGGTTCCCTTGTTGGTTCCGGTGGTGGTGGCTCTTGAACGACACCTCTTCGTGGCCGCTTGCTTGCCGGTTGGCGTTGTGCTCGCGGCGCTGGTCCCCGCTTTCGTGTTGGTCTTTGTTGCTCTTCCATCATCATCATTTGATTGTGCTGATGGTTGTGCATCATATCGTGACCCTGCATACCAGGATGTGAATGTGGTGTTATTGTATTTGCCTGCATCGATGCTTCAAGATCAACACCGGCTGGATCGTATTCGGTGGCCATTTTTAATGCCATTTGCATGATATCCTCGCCAAAATTATTACCCGGCATGTCTTCAGTTGGATACTCATTCTCTTCTTCTGAACTATCGGTGTCATCTTCTTTCTTTTTATCACCGGCCACCATTTCTGCCATCATCAATAGTTCTGCTTCAAATGGATCTGCTGGCATTTTGTCTTGAATCTTTTTGATTTCTTTCATAATGCCATTCGCGGAATTTCTGTAGAATAAAACATTGATATTTTTACGATAAATTGATCATTCACGTCAATTTTTTTAAAAATATTATTTACCTTGTTGTTGGAATAAAAACTGGCACTATAGAAAAAATAAAAACAAAAAAATGTGAAAATACGTTGAAATGATGAAAATTCATTTTGTAAAAATTACCTGGAATAGGCAGAGGTATTGGCACGGGCACAGGGAACGGCTGAGCGTACATCGGCAGTGGTGATGGAAGGTATATCGGCACTAGAGAAAATAAAAACAAAAAAAAAACATTTAAAAATCTATTCAAAAAATGATCGAAATCATTTGTTACTTAATGTGAAAATTACCTGGAATGGGTATGACCATTTTTTGTTCCAAGAAATCATCTGTTTGACAACCGACAGTGAATTGCATGGGCCGTGCTTGTATTTCTTTATTATGCGTAGATGGTGCACACAACGTTGCAACATTTGCCACTTTTTTCGGCAACGGTGGAATTGTCACGATTTGTGTTTGTCTTTCGACACGAACCTGTGGTGCAGGTGCTGCTGATGCTGGTGGTTCGACCGGCTGAATTCGCGGTCTACCAACGGACCTTGTTGTCTTTTCAATTACTGTTTCTGGAAGTGGTTCAAGCTCAACAACCGGTTGCAAACGATTCAATTCGTTCAATGAACTGTTTTGCGCCTGACTGCTGCGGCCACGTGTACTACGTGTTGGTGCCAACGAAGTTACACTAGCAATAACCAATGTATTACTTGCTGCCGGCTGCTTTCCAGACTGATAGCTGTTGGTTTTTCTAGCATTTGTTGATGATTTACTTTTACCTTTTACTTGTGATTGGGTTGATTGTTTCTGTTTTTGTTGCTGCTGTGATCTGATTCGTTTTGGTAAACCAGTTGGTACGGGTTGTGTTCGTTGATCACCAACCTCGCTCTCCAACGTAAGTGGAGCTCTACTGAATTGAGACTGAAACGCCATGACACATTGATAAGTACAGAAATTTCGCATCGATGCATCACTCATTGTTAAATGATATTGTGGCGTTGTCACCGAATTACACTGATCACATTTTAGCTGTTTCATTGCAATGGCATTCATTGAGACCTCGCACATCGATAAACAATTGATTGAACATAGCATCATTGTACCATTTTGTGCAGACACTTTTTGTATCATATCAAAATTATATTTTCGCACTTTACACCATTGGCACGGTGCAATTTGACGATTTGATATTATGTAAATGTTCATGCAAATTTTTGAACAAAATAATTTTGCATCGTTGCCCTGCCCGTAAATCGTATGAGCATTTGATGATTTCCGTTCAAAATATTTTCGACACATTGCACAACAATCTGGAAAATAAATAGTTAATAACATTAAATTTCATTGTCATTTTGTTATATGACTCCAAATAAGAGAGCGAGAGAGATGAAAATATTATTCATACCTGGATTCACATTATTCACAAAACTAAATGCTGAAAAGCATGGATTCGAACAAAAATAGTGAATATTTGAATCGACAACGACTTCAACGCGAACTGCTTTTGAATTATTACACACGGCGCATGTTTTGGTTATATGTTTTTTGTTGCTGAAAATTTGCTCATACGATCGCGAACATTTCCTCGAGCAAAAATCTTTGAATTGGCCATTGATTGGTGCTAGGTACTCATCGTTTTTCGTGATATCCAATTGACAGTATGAGCACACTTTCAGTCCTTTTTTGAAGGCATCCAAACATGCCGACCGGCAAAATTGGCGTAGCTCAAAACCAAATCGAACGCAATATTTTCCCATGCTGGCAACCGAAACGGCATTTTGACATGATTGACATGCAGCACCAATTGCTTGTTGATATTGACCCAAACAGGCTTCATTGCAAAAGTCCAACGCTTCCCATTGAAGATTACTTTCAAGCATCATTATGTCACTGTAGCATTGTGCACAACGACGAGCAAAACTCGCTTCACGATCAATAGTGGCCAAACGTTGTTCATCCTCAGTACGTGCAACCATTTTCTTTGACTTTTCACTGGTCGCGGTTGAACGTTTCGGTGGGGCTTCAATCGTTTCGTTGACTGGTTTTCTTGAGAAATCTTTCGCTCGAATCGATTGACGCTTGAATCGGAAACGATCTGGTTGTTCTGCCATCAATAAATTCAAACAAGGTTCGTTGCACAAGTAAAACGATTTTTCATCCTCTTTGAATGTATACTTGCATTTTGTCTCTTCAAAACATTGTAAGCATTTATTTTCCGCTTCCAAATCGTCACCGCTTGCTTCTTCGATGATAAATCGTTTCTTGGCTATGGTAAACTTATCGGGATTGGCTGTCGTGAAATTATTCAAACAATCATCATCACAAATGTAATTGAATGTATCGGCATCGGTGGTTTCTTTGTAACGATATCGGCACGTTTTTGTTTGTTCGCATGATTCACAATTTTGTTCAATGTCCATTGCATAGTGAACTGGTACCTTTTTAACCACCACTTTGTACTTTGCATTGGCACCATTGAATTTTGTAACACAACCCGTATCGCATAGATATTGAATTTCCGACCTCACCAAAGTTTCAGTATCGCCTTCGGCCGGTGTTATTTCTTTTAATAATGCATATTTGCATTTAATTGTTTGACCACATTCCATACACATATTTTCTTGACATAAATCAGCATCGATTTCTTTAATTTCATCCACACTTGGTGTAAATGGAATGGTTGACATATCAGTTTGAGTTTGTTCACTACTTTCTTGAGCAGTTTCACTTTCTTGATCTTCGGTTTGACCTTCGGTTTGACCTTCGGTTGGCTCTTTTTCACCTTTGATTTAAATTGAATAAGTTTTCGATTAAATTCGAACTTCAGAAAAATTCATAATTATTATTATTTACCATTTTCTTCGATTCCTTCCAAAGTGCCTTCGCCAGCTTCATTTTCTTGATCATCATGATCATCTTCTTGCTGTTGATTTTGTAATGCTCGTTCTTTGTCTGCATCGGAGATCTCGCGTTCTTCATCTGGTAACAAACAGAGCTCTTCATCGGCTCCTTTTCCTTCCTCGATATCATCGACAGCTGTACACAGAAAATACAACATTAGTTTGATTGTCATTAAATCTATCGAATAATTGAATGTCAGATTTATTTACCTTCGATGGTCGAACCATCATGATGTGAACTGGTGTCACGATCATCATCTTCACGGTCACTTCCAGCTGGTTCATCGGCATCATTATGATCATCAGCATCATCGACATTATCGTCGACATCATTCTGATCATCCGATCCATCATGCTGTTCATCATTTTGATCATTTGATCCATCATTCATACTGCTTGTTGTACTCATATTTGTATCATTTTGTGTTGATTCATTGGCATTTGTATCGTTACCTTTCAGCAATGAATCGAACGGATCATCTGATATGGTTTGATCTTTTTGCACTGTATCACTTAAACTACTGCAATTGAATTCCTCCAAATTGTGTTCCATGACTGAGTCGTCTTGTTTTTTGGTGAAATCTGGAACGTCTTCACCTTGCGGTGTTTCACAGTCGACTTCCATTTCAGTGGGTTCATCTGGTTTCTGATTTTGTTCGTTAGCACTGTTTGCATCATTTTCATCGTGCGCACTGTGCTCATTACTTTCACTGCTTTCATCGTTTTGTGTGGCTTCATCCGGTGCATTACTATTTATCGTTGTTGTTTCTGTTTGTTTTTCTTGTGTTTCATTTTCTGACTCATTGCTAACTTCGTCCACTTCCATGGGCTCTTCAGCAGTGGCAACAGTATCACCCGTTCCATCGACTGTATCTTTTAACGAATCGAATAAATCGGGTGGTTGTTCATTATTTTCAACCGATTCCTTTATCTCTGTGCTCTCCGATTCTTGGGATTGCTCATTTTCAACATCGTCACCATTTCCATCCGCTGATTTTGTGACATTTCCATTTTCCGTCGTTGTGGACGTATCATCTTCGTTCTCAGTCGTTGCTATATCATTTTCGTTCTCTATGACATTTTGGTTTTCTATGTCATTTTCATTCTGTGCAACACTTTCACTTTCATTTGCTACTTCTTTTTCCGTAACATTATCATTATCTGTTGTCGTTCCTTCATCAGACATCTTCGCACTTGAAATACAAAAACCGAATTCACAGACACACGTTTTAAAAATAAAACTCTTTTTTTGTTAAAATCAGTTTTATTACTGCCTAAAAGAGAAAAGAAATGTTTGCAGAAAAATGTCATTTAGTTCGATATAATTTTTTCATTGCATCGCATTGTAAAACATGGTTGGCGCTATTGTAAACAATTCAAGTGATATGTAACAGGGTTCAGTAAAAGATACGAAATTCAGCCATATTTTCATTACGTATACATTAACATAAAAAAACGTACAAACACGTTACAACGAAATATAAATTCAGTCTCTAAAAAGGCTATCAACAGTCAATAGAATAAATATACAAAGCGTAATGGATGTCATAGGGTGTTCATAACGAAACTGTCAGTTTTGTGTCAGTACAGAAAAAATACCACATTTGCAAGCCATAATGAGCACCCTCTGATGTGAAAAATTCCATAAATCTCAAATTCACAAAGTCACCAACAACTTAAACCATTTTTATTATTATGTACAAAACGAATGGCACGATTGAATGATTTTCCCGCGAATAAAACGAATTAAATACAATCGCATTGCCCAACCATGAAACACCGGACTGCCGCTAAACTTGTGTATCTTTGTTTATATGCAAAAGTTGTCCCGCTTGCAGCAACAACAGTTCATACCTTTGTTTCACTTTGTTATTTATCTGTCGCTTTTCAGCATTTACGTTAATCGCTTTACAATTGCAATATATAGTGGAATGCTGATAAAATATGGATGCATTTAATGAAATGAGGCGGCAAATAAATTCGATATATTCACACTTAGCAAAACAAACTTTTACTACATATCACCATCTTGGATTTTTCGGCTTGCGTTCCCTATGGGTATTATCGTCGGCGTGTGTATATAGCATTTGAAGCGTGAGTCGCACACGGTCGTGCATCATCGCGTATACAAAATGACAGTTGCTATGTCAAATGCCGTCTTAGAATTGATCTTTTTATACATGAATGTTTCGATTTTTTAAAGCAAAAGCAAAATATTGAAAAAATTAAAAAAATCTTAAAAAAATATTTGAGGTGAATAAATCAAAAGGAGATCTTAACTCTGAAAATATTGAATTCACTTCACATTTATAATAATGTACTAGATTACTTGTTCAAGATTCTATTACGTGCCATTCATATATTATGTTCATATCTCCCCTGGATTTTTTAACTTTGAAAATTGAAACTCAGTTATATTTTCATCATTTTTTTCATAATTTTATTGTGTATTATTTTTGGTTGACGGCCAAAATTTTAAAAATTTGACATAGAAACTGCTTACAAATTTCAATATTTCATGACATGTATATATAATTTTATTTATCGCATTATTCATTACAGTTTGTCTCCTGAATATATGTACTTGTGCCAATTTCAACACAAAATCGGTTATTTCGTTTACTTTCGTGTAATACGTACATATTCTAAATGAATCTTAAATCATTTAATGCAATAATTCGATATGAGAGAAACGTGCTCGTGATTGTATGTGTATTTTTTTATATATATTTCCATCGAATTAATTATACTTAAGACAAAACCGAATTGTTGTTATATTCATTTGAAATAAGTTTGGTTTCTTTCACGTTAATGTTTTCTCCGATGGTTGTCTTCAAAATTGGCTCCGAAAATATGATCAGACATAAGCGAAACATGCAATTTTTCTTTTAAAAAATAGATTTTGGTATTCTGGATAACTAAATTCAAAACAAATGTTATTGAAAATCAAAAGGTCAACAGGTCTAAATCATCACGAACTATTGATGGATGAACGATTGGGCTCAGGAAAATGAGAATATGGAATTGTCGAATTGTTGATTTTGTTTGGGTATTTTTGATTTTTCATTTTGTTGAACTTGATTTGATTCAAGTGATTTCTGCGCACTACCATTCAGCATCGCCGTTACTTTTCTGGAAAATATAATCTTTGCCGCCTATATTCATAATGCCATCTTTTAAATAGAATTTCCATTTATTACGCGATCGTGTTATCTGAAATATTTCAAATAGAATCGATTAGAGAAAAAAATACCAGAAAAATTGGATTGTTAACATACTTTATCGTATTGACACACAACTACATTGTCCGTGTCAAACAACTCGTTTTGGTTTTCTTCTTCAGAAACGTCATCATCAGTACAAAGTGGTTCTTCTTCGGGGCCAAGACCTTCCTCCTCTTCTTCATTTTCCTACACGAAAAAATAAATGATTGATTGGTGTCTCTCTCTCTTAAAAACAATCAATTCAAAACAATCGACTTACTGGTAAATTATCATCATCGTCATCGTTATCCATATTGTCGTCGCTTACATCGCTACCATCTTCATCGGATGTATCCGCAGTGCCATCAACTTGTTTTGCAAGTGCATTGTTGGTTAATACCGCATTGATATGCTGTTGAAGCACGGATGCTGCAACGGACGGTGGTAGATTCATAATACTTTGAATGATATTTGTTGCAGTTAAAGCACTGTGTAATTTGTTTTCTTGCAAGGCGGATGCAGGCACTTGTATTGTCAAAACGCGTGGTTCAGGATTTTCCGAATTGGGCAGCGCAGGCAAACTGCAAATTTATTCAATGACATTAGATGAACGGAAAAACAAATGGATGGCATTTTATGTAAAACTTACGTTATTTGAATTGGTACAATTTTTGATGGATCCAAACCAATGACGGCAGGTGGAGGTGGAGGAGGTGCAGCCGACTGTGTTGGTACCAAAGCAGGTGGCTGCTTCTATATTTGTTAGACAATGAAAAATAGCTTAGTTACACTTGCATTCTCAGCAGGACCTTTTTTGCTTCAAGAATTAGAAATATACAGACCCGAGTGGAAAAAAAGTGACTAAGTTACTATTGACTGTAAGTGACTATAGTTAGCTATATTCATGAATTTTAAAATTTTGTATAGAAAACAATCGACTATAGTTACTCAGTCAGTCAGGCGATTATTTTGGGACGTTTTGACTATCGGGTGACTATGATTATTGTCAACTATAGTTAGCTGTTGCAGTTAACCATAGCTTACTTTAATTTATTGAAGTTAAATAAATTTAACTAAGGTTGCTTGTTTTTACAGTCAACAGTCAGTCAGTTTGTCCCAAAGTTGTTAGGCATTGTACTACAAAAACAATTTAGAATAGTCTGTTCGAAAAATAACCAATTACTATCGCAAATCGTGGTCATTTGCGAAAGTTATAGAGAAATTTTTTCTACAGTACTGAAATTGTCATATTTAATGTTAAAATGAAAAGAAAATGTCCTTATATTACAGTCTTATTCAAAGCATGAACATTTAGGGGTGCTCCTGCCAAAAAATGACCTTGATCATTTTCAAATGAAATGTGATGTACTTACGTGATGAACAGCACTTGATTGTGTCTGAACGGGTTGTGACCCAGCCGGTTTATTTATCGTTTGTTGTGTGACAGCTGAGGCTTTTGTGCTGTTTTCATTTGATGAATCTGCTGTGGCCGCCTGGCTCGCATTTGATTCGGAATTTTTGTGTTCTCGTTGTGCACTCGGTTTCTTTGATTTGGTTCCGTTGTGCTGCAAATCATCATAAAATAACATTTATTTCTCTGACTTGTTTTTTTGTTATAATAATAATAATAGCTTACTTTTGATTTAGATGTATTATTGGCAATGATAGGTGGTGCTTGTGTTTCAGTTGGCTCCGGATGATTATCAACGGCTTTGCTTGCCATCAATTTGTTCACCCATACCTGCTTCATTTCCTGAAGCACCTGTTCATCAACTCCCTCATCCAAAAATGAATCTCGAACGCCAGCTATGACATCGTCTATCACTGTGTGATACAACTTTAACTGAAATAAACGGAAACAAATATACACGATATAATATTTTTAGTTTCTTTACAGAAATTAAGACGAACAGATGAGCACTCGAATGCAACAGATGCATTGACCTTAACCAATGTCTGTATTTGCGTTACTTTGAACACAATCGTAAATCAAACGACGATTTAATAGAGATCTTAAATACAGTGAGGTCGACATACATTTTGTTCAAGTGTTAAAGTCATGGATTTTTTGTGTTCCAACGGTGTAGAAATAAGGCTTATATATGAAACCCATAACTGCTTCAGATAAAATGTATATTTACCCAACGCGTCACACACACATACTCGTATTGTCGCCACTTCAAGGTAACGTATGTTTATAAATACCGATAATTTTCAAATGGCTCCATAACAAGTTTGTATATTTTGTCTCGCGATTTAATCATTATTATTCCAAATATCAGCGATTCATAATATACTTACCACTGAAGTTTGACTCAAAGCCATTTTTTTCTGCTAAAATGCGACGATTATGAACGATTACGAGATAAAGAGCCAAAAATCTTATACTTTGTTTGCTGAACACAAATTCAATGTACAATATGTTAAGTCTTTGCACTACGCGGTCACTGTTATTATTTTCACAGTGGTGGTTGTTTGATTTTCGTATTTTCACGCTCTCCTTCTCTTTTCGTTTTTTTCTCTGACGGTGCTGCTTTTTTTGTTTAGGTTAAAAATACGTTTTACATTTTATTACAAACAGATTTGCTAATAGTCTGTCGCTATTCGGCGAAATGTTTACGTAAATTCGATGACAATAAATACTTTTTAAGACCTTTATTGCGACAATACCGACCGTATTTGCCGACTGTGATACACTGCACGACAACCAATTCAGAATTGATTGATTTGTATTAAATATTGTCTTGACTCAACACACATTTGCATGTACATGTATATGCATATATATCCAGAACCGATTTTTTTTTTTACATTAACTTTATCTCAAACTCAACTTCACAATGTGTGAATATTGAACAAACTGCATTACAAAAAGCAAGAACAAAAAAAAAAATGAATAAATGAAACGAAAAAATTCAACCGAAAAAAGAAGAAAAACAACAACAATAATGATTTAAAACGCGCGTGTTTTATATATTTTTTAAATTGTACTGCGGAGATGATTTTTCCGATTGGTTTGTGCGACCAAAACCAACTACAGAATAATTATGAGAATCGAATCAAAATGTATGTTACCCGTGATGTCGTGCTATTCGACAAAAAAAAAGACGTATTCAGTCGACACATATACACGCATACACACAAAGAGAGACATACACATGTACAACGACGTAAATTGTTTACGAAAATGCAGTCACGCACTTTGAACTCGTGATACAAAATCGTTTTCACTTGGTGAACGGACTCTGAAGATCATTGAAAATGTGATATTTTAAAAATACCAGCATATTCAGAATATATTTGGTTCAATTAAATCATTCAGTTTTCAGTGGACTCTTCGTTCAGCTCAGTCTAAAGAAATATGTCCATTTATGAAATCAAACGATTTTTCCAAATTACGTATTACGAAATCCATAAAGTCACTTGGATAATGACATTTGTTTATGACTTATTGTGCTAAGAAAAGGAAGGAATCGATTTATATCTTTGTTTTTATCTTTGTCAAATACAGAAGCATTTTTCACTCTCAACCCGACTCAACAAATGTCCATCAGTTTTTTTCTAACGAAATTTTTATGAAATAAAACGATTTTTACGACGAGGACCAAGTTAAATACGTAATAAAACGAAATCATGTCAATTAAAGACGATAACATTCCACTAGCTGATGATGATCCACAAGGTAATTGGGTTGTCTTTTTTTTCCAGAGAATGATGGAGTTAAAAATGACATTTTGTTTTCTTTCGTAGCCATCATTGAAGACACGAATGACAATATCAATCGAGCTAAATCAAGTGATTCACTACCAAGCATGTATAACAACGATGGATCCAGTTCAAGTCTAGAACCGGACATAAATCCCGATGAACAAGAGGAAAAAGCACGATTGATTTCACAAGTACTCGAACTGCAGAACACACTTGACGGTGAGCGCTTCTTTTGTTTTCATACATTCATTTTTATATTAATGTGAGTGACTTTTTGCAGATCTATCGCAACGAGTCGATGGTGTAAAGGAGGAAAATCTGAAACTTCGTTCAGAAAACCAAGTGTTGGGCCAGTACATTGAAAATTTGATGTCCGCATCGTCTGTGTTTCAGTCGACAAATACAACGACCAAAAAGAAATGAACAAAATCGAATCAAAACTACGTGAAAATCTCAAATAGCAGTATTTCTTTTATTTGATCGCTTGAATTCAGAGAGAAAACGATGAACACACAAGTGCTTTTGCTGGTTCTAGGCTAATGAATTCTATTTATCTTATATTATCTTTATTTGCACTTACTAATTTACCAACCAAGATTGGCTCAAATCAAAAGGCATTTCGCAAATCAGATGGCTTTTTCTCGAGAGATTTGTGTTTTTTCCTCTCATTTTTTTATGTTTTTAAAATCATCGATCAATAACATATTCATAACCTTGTTGCTCTCTTTGTATTATATAAAATCGTTGATAACGTTCAACAGCTTTTACATCGTTGTTCAGAAATAAATTCCATATATTGTAACTGGCATTCCGTTCATCGACAGCGGAAACAAGATTTTTTTTTTTTTTGATTAATAAAGAAAAACATATTTCATAAATCTCCATTTTACGTTTGTTTGTTCAAACCGATTGGAAATGGAAAAGAGCGCCATTTGGTATTTCTTCGTGTCACACGCTGAACTGAAGCGGTAGCTCAACTCGAATCTTTTATTTATCTATCAAACAATAAAAAATGTGATTTTGACTCTTTTTTCATTCTTAAATGTGTATTCATTGAGATTCGCAAGTTCTGAATGCATGAAATTTATGGATCGGTCAATTCTTTTCGGATAGTATCAATGAAGTGTACAACTTCACTCGTATGAGAAATCGGAACGGACTTTCCAATTTCATTTTTCACTTCAGTCAAATGACTCTTTGCAATGGCGACTTGAGTATGAGTGTGCGTTCATCATTTTATTTTATGCCGAAAAAATTGTTGATTTTCTTCGAATGAAAATATAATCAAATAAAATATTGCAAAAATTAAATAAATTCATAAGAATTTTAAAAAAGCGTTGTTTGTTTTATAAAATTTGGCACGAAAATAGAATTACGTAAATGATAAATTCTAATTTGGCGCCGGAGTTTAGGCATCAATTGAACATGCCCACAGAGTGATAAACCGCTTCCATGTTTCAAACCGCAAACATAACTAACTTCAATGCGAACGCGCTACGAACACAAAAAACACCATTTTTCTTTTGGGCCTGTCTCTGTGAGTCTCGCTTCCATTTGGCGGTATCGTTGTGTGCGTGTGCATTTCATGTGTGTGCGTACTGGTCGTACTCTTCTCGACAATATACAGTGTGCTGTGCTGTCTTCTTCTATTTCCTTCGTATTGTTCGCGTCACCGCCGCGAAAGCAAAATGCAAATGTCGCTGCCGAAGTTACAAGAAGAAACTCGATTCACACACAAGACACCACAAAATAGAAAACAGCTTCGAAAATTCTTTTAATTTGTTCTCTTTTATTTTGTAATTTATTATTTAAACAAGAATAAAAAAAAATACGAAAAAACGGTGTGAAAAAACGTGGCAAAATTCAACAAATTATACACGGTAATATTCGTGAAAAGTGATTGTGAATAAAAAAGAAGCGAAAAAAAAAAATAGATTTTGTGTGAAACACACCAAATGGATGGAATCGTTCGGACTTGTGAAACGACAAATAAATTTTAACTCGTTCGACAAACAAAAGAAAATTGTGTTTGCATGTGATTCAAATGAAAATTGAAATACTTTTTTTTCGAAAAGTGAGTACCATAGCTTCAATACAAAAAAAATATTGTAGCTATTTCAAGCAAGTTGTAAAAATGTCGAGGAAATTTTCAACGAAACATACATGAAAACAACACACAGTGTTGAGTTCATGTAGACGTAATATTTGCACGGATTTCGGTGTCGCCATTCAAACAGTCGTCGTGAGTCTTTTCTTTCCTCGTTCGAATCGACTTCGTGTCGGTTTAATTCAATGAAAAAGCGATTTTTTCTTCATACAAATCGATTTATTGCACAGGAAAAATGCAACGAATGAGTTTTCTTTTCATGAAGTTGTCATAATGAGTTGAGTGTAAGCCAACTGGGTGCACAAATGTTACCAAATGGATAACAGAAGGAAGAGAGAAAGAACCAACGAAAAAGAAAAAGAATAAGAAAAGAGATGAAGTTCATACAAAAGTGAAGTGTTTCAATGAATTTGTGAGAAAAAAGAAATATTTTATTTGAATTGGAAACAAAGCCAATATGAGATGAAAATAGCGACATTTTTTCGCGTGGAATTACCGACAAACAGGCTAAAATAAATACTAATTCATCGACAGAAATTTGTTGTTTTTTTTTTATTTCTGCTGAATTCAATGTGATTATGCAGCAACGGCGTTATATACCGTCGTCATCATCGTCAATTCGGTTTAATTCACACATATTCATGTCATGTATATATACTACATACACGTACCAACAAAACAGCGGCTATAGCCACTTCAAACACTCAACGAATAGCAGCCAGTTTTGAGGCTCTCGCTTGGCACTAAATTGTGTGTGAGTGTGAAATGCACACATAATTTCAATGAATTGTATGTGGAATATATGAACGAATTAAAAACTTGAATAAAAATTTAATATTTTTTTGTGATAGGAAAAGTCTAAATACAAAGTCGCTTCTCTTTTCTCTTTCCTTTTCTCTCTCGGTTACTTTGGCTATGGTTGCTATCATTTGATCACAGTCCAGAAGAATTTGCGATGTTAAGATCACAAAGAATCACATATACGATGTCAATTGTGAAAAATATATGTTAAATCCAGTCAGTTGAAAAATGTCCGTTTTTTCTGTGTGTTGAACCGACTCATTCGAAATAAGAGAGCGCTGAAAAGCTATGTTTCCAAAAAAAACAAAGCTTGAGAGCACGGCACAGTGGATATACAATGAGAGCATACGCTTGAGCAATGTATACAGCACATAACATGAGAGAGGAGCCGAATCCATCTCATTTTTTTTTGTTAAAAGCTAAAAAAAGAGAGTTTCATTCACCACATTTTATTTCGACTCAGAGTATTTTATTTTTCATGTGACCGACATGAATTTCGTTGGTCGAGCGTTAAAAACCGCAGCTATCGATCGGGGGCAGTGTTCATAAAATTGCATTTTTTTCGAAGCCTGGCATTTTATGCATTGTTTTAATTGAATTTTCCATGTGTTGGATGTGACACCGAAATCACTGAAAATATCATTCTATCTCGACGAAAAATAGTGTTATTTTTTTTCGACTTGTTCACAAGCCATGTAATCGTTCTGTTTTGTTTTTCGTCCAAATGAAAATATGAATATGATACGCTTACATTGCACAATTAATTCCATTCATGTGATTTATTTTCAGTTTTTGTCCAAATTATTTTAATTAAAGTTTTTGTTTTCTCTTTCTCTATCTCTCTCTCTCTCTCTATTTTCATTGAATTGTGAACAGGATGTATTTACCGTCAGTGAAAAAGAAATTGCATCGAATATAAAATGATTAAATGGAAATTGAAAATCTAAGTTTATGTTATGGGTGTTTGCATACAAATAATTTGTGAATTTTCAATAAAAATCAGCATGAAATTCTGCGAAATGTATGTGTGCACGAAGTGATTAATGATTGAAAAGAAAATCAAATCCAAGTAAAAAAGAAAAATAAGTGAGCAAAAAGTGTGCTTTAAAACGAAATAGAAATAATAGGAAAAAGAAGAAGAAATGTCAGTTGTGTAATCCAAAGTGAAAGAGAATCGTGAGGCTTGAAACGAACCCAAGTGACTTGGAGACACACCGTCGAAAAAGGAAAAAAAGATTGAAATAAACAGAAAATAAAAAAATACAAATTGAAAACGTGAAAAAGAATTTGTTTTTCGATCAAAAATTGAGTCGAAAATCGATGTGAACGATTTCATTTCGATTGATTTCAGACGTGTTTCGTGAGACATACGCGCGCGCTTCGGATGGTGCGTGTCGTGTGTGTGTGAGAGCGTGTATATTGTTTTTTTTTTTCATTTGCTATATATGTGTGTTTATATGCCTCATGAACGAATGTGCTTGTGTACAAATAACCGAAGCATTGTGTAGATGAGCAAATCACCGAATACGAACGGTTTTAGTATTCATTTTTTGTGTTGTTGAGAACTAAAATGGCGCAACAACAAAATGACAGCTTAAATCAAATGCCGACTAGTGAAAATAGTTATATGAACGATGTAACGGGTAAAAGTTTCCCACAAAACGGTAATAATTTGGATCCAACAAAAAATGTGTCAAACATGAATGAACCACAGAAAGGCAAACCATCTGGGCCGAATGGGAATAGTGCAGCAGCAGCTGGTCCAGTTGGAATGCCACCAGCGCATGATGCCAGCGGCATGCACTTAGGACCATACGGTCATCCAATGCAACATCATCATATGCCACCCGAAATTGATCAGCAGCAGGTGAGAATATGATGCAATCAATGTATCCATTCTATTTAAACAGAACACAATCAATTTGTGCATTTGTTGTTATTCAAAGCAAACGAACCATTGAACAATGATTGAATTAACAAATTAACTAATAAATATCTCGACCGTTTGTTTTATGCAGCAACCAATTGAACATATGTATAATCCACAAGCGCCATACGGTCGCTACCACGATCCAAATATGCCCCCAATGGATATGTATGGAAGATATCATCCTGGCGGTAAGATATTCAATTCATTTCCAAAACGTAATATCCGCCGTCGATCGAAGTCTTTGAGCAAATCGTTGAATTCATTGCACATGCGAAAATGCCATATCAAAGATGTTCTTATCGATTGGCATTTGCCTCGAAGCAATTATTTCATCGTTTAAAATAGATATTCGACAAATTTGAACGCTCAACTCATTATAACTTTCTATTGAACAGGGCTTGAAATGAAAATTTCACCAAATCGACCACCACCACAAAGATATCCGGTAAGTAACACTCACTTCCATATTCTATCTCACATAATAGTTATTATTTAACTTAATGCTTATGGCAAAACGCATAAAGTTTTAATTAAAAACTTCAAAAGGCTCCTTTTCATTTGACTTATGTGCAATTTCTTTTCTTCATTTTTTTTTTATTTGTTGTCGACAAAATAGCAACAACAGCCACAAACATCGGCTTCAAATCAGCAACAACAACAATCTTATTCGGCTCATCCGACTCATGCACCACATACGGGTGAGCAAGCAGCACAAGAACAAACACAGCAGCCACCAAATCCGATAGGACAAACGCCAACACTAAATTCACTATTGCAATCGCATCAAACGGCTGGCCCACCACAGCCGCATCATCATCGATACCCGAATAGCTACGAACAACAATCAAGTCAGCAGCCAGCTTATGGTGCCCAAACGTGGAATCCATCGGCTGCTCCACAACAGCGTCCATACAGTCCACAAATGGGCCAACAAGCTTACAGACCACCACCACCAAATGCGGTAAGTTTTTCAATTGAATTTTTCTTTATTTTAACCGCCGAATAGTGACTAAATTGTATTTAATCGAAAAAAATAAATCAAAACAATGTCTCATCACATCACAACAAGTGTCTCAAATCCTCATTTGTATCTAACTTCAGTTTTGTACAGAGAACAATAAAAAAAAAACAAAATTCAAAATCGCATATCAACATTCCCCTTTTTCAATATTCAAATTCGAATTCGTATTTCACTTGTGTGTAAATAAAATGTATTAAATCACATTCGAAAAATCGCCAATTTTCATTTGCCACAAGATACAATACAAACATCATTGACATTTGAACCTAACCAAGATTCATTCATTCATTGTCATTAAGTTTAAGCCTTCAAGCACCCTGCCATCCATTGAAACAATCGAATTGTTGTTACCTCTTTTTTATTACCTACATCATTCCTTGAACATCATTCATTCAAATTTTGCCGTTACAATGAATAGTGAATTTGCTAATTAGTTTTCTTTTGAAGCATACGTGTGTGTGAGTGCGGCAATTTGTAAATTTTACCGCTAAAATTGACATTTTATGAAGTCGCACAAACACACAAAGATTAACAAAAGAAAGACCATCATAGTATGAAAACATATTTATTTGAATGTGTACACAAACACATGGAGAACATTAACACCGGTACCCACAAATATAAAACAACAACAATCCAAACACACATACATTTAGCTCAGTACAATTTAATCGGCAATTTCATTTCAGTAATTTATTGACATAAATAATAAAAGCACACGCGAGGCAGCAGGTACTCGTTATGATAGAAAGACAGAGAACGAATGAGTGAATAATGCCGACCAAACAACAACTCTACGAAAATATAACACTAATAAATATAGCGGGACAATAGCAGAAGCAGCAGCTGCTATTGCTGTAGTCGATGTTGCAATTCTATTGCCAAGAAAACAATCGAAACGTGTGAATGCAAAACATCATCATGTAAATAATGTAAACAAAACAAACTCCAAAATGAATTGAAAATTGTATGTCTCTTTCCATCGTTCGTCACATTAAATATATATTCCGTTTTCTTTGGACCGCATTTTGTGTGTGTGTGTATCGCCATAAAATAACCCTCACCCGCACGGGCTCGTGTCAACCACACTAGAGCGCGTACTACGCCATTTGATAAAAGCCATTGATTATAGTTAATGAATTTCTAAATGTGACACACTACAAATCGTATTCGACCGTATGGCATTTCGCTTTGCTCTATCGCATTTTGGATAATAATTTGAATTATGATTCGATCAGCTACAACGGCCAATTAATTTGAATAATGACAGTTCATTGCTATATATAGCGAAAGAGAGAGTGTGTACGCCACATCGAGACAAAACGAACGCTTTGCATGTTTATTGAACGCGTGAATTCGGTGTGGTGTTCTCAAATTTCATTAATATTAGTTTACTATGAAATGCACTTCGGTTCGCTTATAGTGTACACGCTTCTTCTTTTTTATTTTTTATTTTTGCTGTGCTGCATTGTATTGCCAATTGCAACCTGTCTTCATCATACATTCATCGACCGAAATGTCATTGCAATGTGGTTCGATTGAAACGTTTTTGTGTCAATAACTTTTAATTCAATGTGTGCTCACTTGTTTGTTGTACTTTGAATATCATGGCACTGCACTCGAAATCAGAAACGACAACAGAAATAACTACTGCAACAACAACCATAATTCACACTTTACATTACAAAGTTGTTTTTTGTTGTGTTGAATAGGCACGTAAAACAACAAATACAAAACGTTAATCGAACAACAAGGTATATATTAATAAAACATGTTTTTTTTTTACTGTCACCAAACTTTTGACCCCGATGTGGTGGTGATTGATCTTACCCAATGAGCATTCGCTTAGAGTTTATTATTTATTTTGTGTTCACGCTCTCTCTCTCTCTCAATTCGATTAGTCATTCGTCACTTTTACGGGTATCTGAAAACGACAGAAGTTTTTCTTGGTAAAACCATTTGCGATGTTAACGCGACACCGACGATGCTGTCGGTGAAAAAAAAAAAACAGCTGCTAAAAAGTAATAATCAATGAATATGATTTGCATTTGTTTGTTTATTCACCAAAATAAGCGCGGTTTCGTAATCAATTTCTAGTACATATCGAATGTAAACGCGTACACAGACACATCTGTATGATTGGCCATGTGCTTTGGATGATTTCATTCAGTTCTCATCTTGGCATTCAATATCGGTTTGGCGTGGTGATGGTGATGGTGGTGTTGGTGTTTTTGTTTCCTTTTAAACATAGAGTGATAGCATCTCTTTGTGTGTGCACAATCGGTTTTTCGTACATTTCCATGTTTTGGTTTAGTTTTCGATAGAAAGAGAGAGATATTTCAAAGTTGGTCATTTCGTATGAATGAAGAGCATGGTGTCAATGCATCTCAGCATGCATGTAATACATGCATAGATTGAAAAACACAAACAAACACACAATTCACGAACACACGCCGGCATATTTGCCAATAGATTATATATGTTTGGTTCAGTTTTAGCTACTATTTTATCAGTTAGATGGATTTTGTTAAGTAAGAGTGTGACTTCGTGATGTTGCATATCAAATCACAACTGGCCTTCTGATTTACCGGCTAATTCAGTAGTACATCCACTATCACTCTATCTAGCACTTTTTATTGCCTGCATTGTTGCTTTTGTGGTGCGTCATCGTGCATGCATATTTTATGGTTTTATATCTTTTGTGTGGCCACCGCTATATTTTGATGGCAAATGTATAGAGAGATGTTCGCATTGCATTGAAGAATATATATTGAGAGGAAAAAAAAGCCATACGTAAACACGGAATGCCATACTCTAAATTATTTTTCGCTCATTCATCCTCTAATGTATTGAGAGCTCGGTTTTTTTTCGCTTTCTTCTTCTCTCCCTCTCTCAATAATATATATAAATTTATATGTATATCAACAGTGTGTATAGATTTTACGATATCATATGTAAAATGTACGTACTGAAGCGTGAGCTGTTGTGTGTACATGACCTACAAGAAGTTTTTTTGTTTAATCAAAATACATGCATATGTATATAAACATAAATCTCCGTAACTTTGTATAGACCGTCGTCGTTGTCGTCGTCGTCGTCGTCGTCGCTACTGGTGATGTCGTCATCACGAGACGATTTTTGCTCTTTTCCTTCAATTTCAACGAAAACTATACGACTTCTTCTTTTCATCCGTTTGCTATTGTGATGATGACGATGTGGATGCTACTGATTATTATTATTATTTTCTGTTCATTTTTCATGTCTATTTGCTTCGGAATTTGTATTTTGCCGCCGTGTCGATGCTCGTATTTTTTTTTTATATTTTGTACATTTTTCGCATTTGCCATTCATTTTATTTTTCCTTTTCTCATTCACTGAATTGCTGAATGCGTTATTATCGTTGTTGTTGCGTTCATCCTCAAATCTCCCAAACTAAAATAAACATAAACTTATTTTATCGATTTTGTTTTCCGCTTGCCGAGTTTCATTTCTCGTTTTTCTCACTGTGTCCCGCTCTTCTCCCCCATCTCCAAAAAAGTGAGTCGATAGTATTTTCTCTTTTACTTTTTCATCGTGTCGTATATTATGTTATGTATGGGTTTTTTGCGAGTTCTAACAGCTGAGCGAGTTTCAAGCGTATGCGGCATTGTATTTTAGTATGCTACCGTTATTCTCAAGTATTGTCATTACAACCATTGTCAATATTGGCTTTTTTTTATATACGCACGGTATTTGTGTATGATATTGTACATAAAAAAGAACAATAAAGTCCATTTCATTCAACTGAATATACATGAACCACACCATCTCATGTTGATATTTGATTGGACGCGCCGAAAAATTGCAATGCATTTGTCTACTTGAAACTTGAGATAATTAATTGGCAAGAGAAGGATAGAGATAAGCGAAATAAAACGTACATTTGTAAATGTCAATAAACTAGCAAAACAACGATATGAAATGTCAACAAAACAAATAAACATTGTCTGTCTCAAGTTAATGCCAACCGGTTTACTAACCTTAAAATCACTAACGCCACAAAAACAAAAACAAAAATTTTTATTTAAAAAAACAACAACAACAATGCGGCCATTTCTCCACACAATTAAGCACTTGTAACAAAGCACGCGATTTCAAATAAGCGACATTATAAAAAAATGCCAACAAACACGAGACATTAACGTTATCAATTCTCTGTAGATTGAACTACAAAAAAAAAACGAACAACACATAATATTGTTCGAATAGAATTGGTGATAATTACTTAATCTGAAGTTCATTCCCACATTTGGTTCCGTTCTTATTATTCACCTCCTCCCTCACTCTCTCTACAATTCGATGTCGAAACGGAACAATATATACTATATCATCGATCAATGACGCAATTGATACGTTTTTTCCCGAAAAATGTTTATTCCATTGTTTCTATAAATAAATGCTTGAACCTTTTGAAGTTATTTGAAAGCACATATGAACACTGCTGACATTAATATTGAATTGCATTGACGTAAATTTAACGGCAAGAACAGATGATTGATTATCAGAGATGAAACATCATCTATTATCGGTACAGTGGCTCGGCATATCTTTTGGATTATGTAAATAGACTTTAAAGGTCGATCTGGTTCATGAAAATTCCATTTGTCATTTGAATTGAATTCGATTTAATTTGAATCGATTCGATGCAATTCGTTAAGTAACATAAGCTGTAAATTGAATCGTTGCCCATGCAAATGTTTGAAATTACACCGAATCCGACCGTTTGCAAATGCACAGGTGTTCGAATCAATCGAATCTATTCAATTTGAAATTTATTGATCTGTTGTATTAAAGAATGGGCCAAAGAAAAATGCTCACCAAAAACTGAACGCTCAACGTAACCAAATGGTATGAGATTGTAAATATACATGAAAGTTAAGTGCCTTGTCAACTATTTGCTT